CCATGAGCGAAGACTGAGTGGAAGGAAAGGTAAGGCTTGATGAACGCCTGCAGATAGGCAATATCTTTGGACACTGCCAAAGGCGACTCCTTCTGCAGTTGGTCTAGTCCAACGAGCTGTTATTATTAGAGGCTCAAGGACTATATGGACCTTACTAAAAAGGAGGTATATTGCCTTTAAATTTTTGCCATGAGTTGCTGTGATATTTGCGTCGGTTAACTTGTAAATTATTAATTTTGTAAATGAATTATTTTTCATTTGTTTACTGACAGTTATTGTTTATGTTAAAACCAATTTTAAAGAAGTGCAATTCAATTAAAAATGCAAATTAAAAAAGTTTATAAAATAATTTATTTACAATTATTATTGATTGAATTTCTCTTAACATATAAGTGAAAACATCGAATTAAAAATGGACTCAAGTAAGCTAATAAATATTTACACTCTAATAGGCTTATATCTATTATTAAAGATAAGAGAACGGAAGAAAGGGCATATATATGACAAATACTTGCTTTGAATATAAATTGGAGAATATTGTAGAGACTTAAAGCTATTTGAAGCTGACACAGGCTCAACTGAGCAGCCAACTGTGTTTTGTTTAAGATATTTTACACATGATTTAAACCCTAATCCTGTAAGGAAAGCAGCTTAATTGATGTGAATAGAAATAGCAACAAATGAAGACTTACGGTGTTTATGTATTTGAAGATTTCTCCAATTATCCACAGACTTTGACTGAACTTAACACGAAAAGGCAAATATTTTTCAGCTTTATATTTAGATTATTAATAATTAATATATTAATTATTATTCTTATTACTTAAAAATAACAATTATAGATATAATTCAGAGCTAAAGCTCTAGTTTCTATTTAGTTTTATATAAGAAACTTTTAACAAATATTTTTAACTAAAAATCTTGACGTAGTCGAAGACTCGTCCAATATTCAGCGGACTTTTTATACCCTGAACCCATTGAAAATGGGAAATCAGGGTATAATGGTTTTG